TCAACCAGTACGGAAATACCGTACATCGAGGGAGCAACAGCACGTAAATTCTCCAAAATTTTCACAAAATTCTATTTGTAAGTAATTCAGCAGCGTGTAAGAGTTCTAGAATAAGAAAGCTACAACACAACAAATTATATATGATAGCCTGAAGTTATAGAAGTGTTATCCTCAAACTCAGTTTTATCGCTTTTCCCTTTCCTCTCCTCGTAACAGTCACTCTCATAAATGGCAGAAGGCCCTGAAATTAGCTCAAGCAATAGAGCTGACACTGCTTCTCTTTAGTAATAGATTTAAGTACCATTTTAAAGATATGAGTCCAGTGAGTGTAGAACTTACGACATGTGCTAGAAATTCCATTTAGATAGCCTAGTCTAATAAATAATGTAGATAATCCAGATAAATCTAAAAAGCTAGATAAAAAAATTTATCCCTCAGCTCTAAAAAAAGAACAATGGCGAATGGGATCCATTAGTATGGCTTACTATCAGCTACGTAGGATAAAAACAAAGTTAAAAACGATTCAGATTCCGTACACGCTCGACAAGATAGAATTCTGTTTATTATCAGGACAAATCAACTGAGAGTAACTGAGGAAGAAAATCTTCCTCTTTGATTAATTTTGAAACCATGGTTTTAACATTTGGGGATGGCACTGCAGTCCACAAGCCATTTACTCCAAATTAATATTTCTCAAAAAGTGATTCTTTTCCAGATTGTTATATGCATGATGTCGGTAAGCCGGTGTTTCATGCACATTCGAATACGTATTTTGGAGCTTGGATGCGTGATGCTTATCCACGCACTGGACAGGTACAAGGTTCCTTTCCGCGTGTAATCCAAGCAGTTGACTTTACTATTAACCTATCGTTTAACGATTTACTTCGATAATTCTCAGTGCTTATTAACGAATTTAGTGGAGAAAATTTTTAACGACCACTTCCATTCTCAATGAACGGTTGCTGAAATCGTCCTTTCTAAAAAGATTTTAGGATCTAACTGGAAGAAAATAAGGCCTAACTCGCAGTTTCTCAGATTCGACATGCGTCAAGTTAAAGCGTTGAAAAATAAGTTGTGTAAGTTTGCATTCTAGGGTACCAGCGATCCCAAGATCCAGATAATCGATGCGGGGATTCCAAGTTAGTGATATTAGCAGAATGATCCTACACGCTGGGTACAGCTGTGCCTGACCTCTCGATCCTGAACTGCATACCTTCAGTAGCTAGCTAAATTTAAAACAGATGTTTCACATTAGAATCAAAAGTTGGAATCAAAACCTTCGTAAGAAAGCAGATTAATACGAATAACGAAACAGTTTTAACTTTTAGAAGCTCCTTTGTCGGAAGCGAAGTACTGTACTGTGCTGAAGTTCATTTTTAGAGAGATTAAAAAATCTTATAGCACTGAAAAATTTTTGAAGGATATGATGAAACGCTGGATGACCAAGCACTTTCAAGGCGATGCAGTTGAGGAGTATTTGGATGAGGGTGATATGCGACGGCAGCGTATTTTCGTAACGTTAGTTCTTAATTAAGAAAAAGAAAAAACAATGTTTGTGGTTATTTTCTAAAGGAAAGGATGGCTATAATCAGGTAGAAAAAAAAGAAATAAATTATTATGGTCTGGATGAATAACTGACCGTGGTCTTCCTTAACTCATCCACTATTAGCAGCGTTCAGTATCAAAAGCCAACAGCTCTCGAGATTGGAGATTTTATGCAAATAAGTATGAACCGAGAAGGGGCCGAACACCTAACAATCACATCCGGATGTGATGTGCAAACATCTGCGCTACCGGCCCATTAATCACTAAATGGACTTTCCAATACGTGCCGACTTTTCGCAGAACTTTCGCAACGACAGCGAAGGCTCCCTTCTGTGAGGGTTACTTACACAGTTTACGAAAAATGCGATCTATCTCAGCAAAGATTTATCCTTGTAGTTGAGAAAATCTTGATGGTGAAGAGTTCGAGTGCTTAAAAAATAAGCAGCAAAATTTTACTATGATGTTTGTTATTATATCTTCGTTTGTTCGTCATAGTTTGGGCAGAAATTACTCGAAGCAGAACGGATTCTTTTTAAGGCATCATTTGCCGCATCTGTACGATGGCACAAATTTGGTCTTTTTCAACGGTTCATTGTATTTCCAT